ACACACACACACACACACACACACACACACACACACACACACACACATGCTTGTAGGTTAAAGAGATAAAAAACTATACAGTCTAATACAGGCTTTGCATGAGCAGTAAGGTGCAGAGATTTCCAGGAAGAGCTAACACGGAACTCAGCCTGGTAGAAAGAGGAGACAAACTGGCTGTTCTCCAGGGCACAAGTGGTGGGCAGGTGGGTGTGGCAGCCACACTCTCTCGTGATTGGTTCTGCCGGCCTTGGTCAGGTGCCCCAGTTCTCCAGGCAGACGCTCACATGAGCTCCAGGTCAGGCTTCTGGGTGCTCTTGACAAGTCTGGTGCCCAAACTTCCACAAGGTTATTTGGCTGTGCGTAGCCTGAGGCTTGGCTTTTTCAAAACTTGACTTTTCCTTTGTAATAGAGCAAGAAAGGTGCCAAGTTAAAAGAAGCTGGGCATTTTTAAATGTTAACAAAAGAATACTCTTAGGGTAGGACACTTGGCATCTACTATAGTTAAAATTATTCTAAGTAAAAAAACCTAAATCCGTATAGCTTACAAAATATTGAAATATTAGGTGTAGGGAAATGCTGTCTGTCCATCTGTCTTCCTGTCCTGGTTTTGATTGACTGCTTGCTATTTGCACGTTGGCCAATTTTTATCTCCTTGGGTATTTAATGATTCTAGCCATTACAGAGCTGAATAATATTCCCATACTACAGACAGGAGAAGATGAAACTCCCCAAAGATTAAACAGCAACATCCTGAAACCACAGGGTGTACCTCCTCTATTTTGGTTGTCCTAGGAAAGAAAGGTAATGTATTTGCTGTCCTCAATTTTAATATTTTAATTGCAAGCCAGAAAGGGAAGCAGACTTTTTCCTTATTTTGGTCAGATTTTAGTCTGTGTTTTCCTTGCCAAAACTGAAATATGATGGACTGTCTAGATGGGGTTGAAAGAGCATCAGTGCTAGAATAATAGCTAGAAAATGCATTGGATGTGAGAACAACATGGCTAACATAAATAAAATGTAAAAATGCAAACTCATAAATGTGAAAATATTTTAAGGCTGAAGAGATGAGTTCGTGGTTAAGAGATGACTTCGTGGTTAAAAGCACTGGTTGCTCTTCCGCAAACCCACGTGGGGGCCCACAACCATCTGAAACCAGAGGCCAGGCATCTGATGACCACTTCTAGCCTCCAAGGAACCCAGAAAGTGCACTTACATACGTGAAGGCAAAACATTCATACACTCATACATGTTAACAAAATAAAAAGTTTTAGGTCCATTTTAAATAAATTAAATAAGAAAAAAAAATCAAGATGTTTTCTAAAATTTTCATAAGGGCTTTCCTGCCATCACCCAGGGTTAAATTGCAGACAGCAGGGTTGGGGGTTCAAACTGATCTGAGCAGCGACGGTGAGCCATAACGTGGTGAGGAAGAGACAAGCAGCCGCTCGGAATCTTTAGTGAGAATGGAGCTCTTTCCTGGGCAGCCAACAGGCTGAGGTTTTGGCCTGCAGATCCCTCTTGACTAGTCCCTGCAGGGCGCTATGTTGAAGAATCCCAGATAATGTAGCTCAGACGGAAGAGCGTTTCTCTGGCAAAGCTAGTGTTGTGGTTAAAAAAAAGTCAGAGGTACAAATAAAAAGTGTATTTAGCCAGTTTCCCACAAGCCCAGCAGCGCCCCCACCCCCACCCCACAGTGTTTGCTTGGGGCTTGTTGGGTGAGGGAAAGCGTGGGACTGCTTCAGACTGTGAAGCTGTGGTGTAGGATGATCTGGACACAGCAAAGGATTTTTCTCTTGAGTCGGGCATAGTCACACAATGCCCACTTCCTAAAGCACGAACAGCCAACAATAATAGCAAATATATAGAAACAAACAAACTCATATGTGAGGAAGGATATTAGCACACAGCTTCGTCTGAATAGAGGGGAGTAAAAGCCAAGTTTTAAAAAGAGAAGCTCCCCCCACCCCAACCCGTCGTATTGCAATGGTGCTGTTAACAAGGTTGTGTGGTAGGAAGGAGGGCAGAGCACTCCAGATGCTCGGAGAGGCTGCAGCCTTCCCTATGAGACAGCTCAGAAGAAAGCCAGGAGTGGTGGCGCACGCTCTGATCCCAGCCCTCAGGAGGCAGAGGCAGGCAGATCACTGTGAGTTCCAGGCCAGTCTACAAAGCGAGTCCAGGACAGCCAAGGCTACACACAGAAACCCCATCTCGAACCCCACCAGAGACACTGTTTCTAGGCCATGTTCATTTATAAGCAGATTCCTTCCTTTTTCTAAGAATAAAACAAAAATAGAAATTTAAGTCTATACAGAAGGCCAGATTAATAACATGAATACACGAAGTAATGAATGCTCAGAGATAACAGACTCCACCGCAAAACCCAAGGTAGTCCTCACACAACAAAGGAGTTGCTTGTGGCGCCCCCTGCTGGCCTCATGCTTACACCACCACATCTCAAAAATGAGCTTTTTTAAATGTGATTATTCTAGATGTTTACTTTAGCATACAGATTAAAAGATTTCATTATAGAGTTTTAGTACAATGTGACATTATAATTCGCTCTAAATTTTCTCCATCCCGTTGCTCTCCTCCATCTTTTCTGCCTCATATTGGTCTCTTCCATCTCTTCTCCCCTCAAATGGTGTCCCCTTCTGCTTTCATGTCTCATATAGTCTATTACCCTCTCGTTTCCTCCATTCCCTCTTCCTAAAAGTCTCCTCCTCCCCTCTAATGATATCCTTTCTACATTAATGATACATACACGAGAGAGGGAGAGAATGACAGAGACAGAGACAGAGAGAGACTCGCACACGAGTATATTTAAAGCTAGGTTCCACATATGAAATAAAACATGGCGTTTGTCTTTCGGAGCCTGGCTTATTTTGTGATTCCAAATTCTGTCTGTTTTCCTACAAATTTCATGGGCTCGTTATTTATGGCTGGGATTCTAATATATATGACATTTACTTCAAAGTTTTACAGAAAATAAAGCAAGGCACAGATGCAGAATGCCCACTAAAGACTCTTTAGGAACAGAGGATTTCATTGCCACAGCTCAAGAGTGTAAAATCTTATACATGTGAAGGGCAAGGGGAACACATTTAAATGGCAACCTTGTTTAAAAAAAAAAAAAATAAGAGGTTTTGCCCTATGATTGAGATTTTATCATTATCATATCGCAAACGCAACTGTTTGAAGTGACTTACGCCTCTGACCCAGCTCTTGTAGTTAGACAGGTAGAAGCCAGCTCCAGTACGGTGAAACACGGCCATCCCAGAATTTAGCTCCATGGCCTCCTACAGGCATGCAGCTGTGCTCCTGCTCCAGGAGCACCCTGTAACGGTGAGGACCGAGAATGCTTCGTGGCTGCATCCTGCTCTGCTGATGCATCTTGCTCTGCTGATGCATCCTGCTCTGCTGATGCATCCTGCTCTGCTGATGCATCCTGCTCTGCTGACGAGACTGTGAGCGTACTGCGGGGCGGGGCGTGGCTACTGCAGGGCGAACTCCAGCTGTCTAAAAGCAGTGAGTGTCAACTTTCCAGGTGGGGGATAGCCTATCAAACTTGTGCGTTCAGAAGACCTGAGGTCGCTCTTAAAATTCTTAAGATATGGCTGGGGGGCGGGGGCTTAGTGTGTGAGATGCCGCGCAGGCCCGAGGGCCTGAGTCCGGATCTCTACTGGCCGAGTAAAAAGCCAGGTGAGGCGGCGCACAGCTGTCACACCATCACAGCAGAGAGCAACGAGAGACAGGGCGACCTGGAGGTGTGCTGGCCAGCCATTCTAGACGCA